CTTTTGCTTTCTCTACAGGAGCAGCTACACTTTTCAATGCACATATAAGCGGCAAAACTAGATACCTTAACTTTTGTCTGAGCAACAGCAATCGGTCGACTGGAAAATAACAAACAGAGTTGTGCGGCGTAGAATGTCCTTTTAATGGGTTTAGAGAGTCTGATATAAGACTTCTACGGCTATATCTGCATTAAATTGCAATTTCATGAACAACGGTTCCTTTTGTACGGCAATAATTTCAGGTTTGTTTCCCATAGCTTTGTTCATGTTTATGTTTATGAAACTGCTAGGGAAGCCCATTCGACCAAGGAATTACGAATATATTCTAAGTCCAGTATTAAACCAACTGAACATATTCTTCTCTCTCTGTTAGTGATGTACTTAACCAGGTTTGCTTTGCACCGAATGGGTGTGTGACTAAGAAAATGTGTTGGTGACCCACAGACATTGTCTTCCTGTAAATCAAGCGCATTACTAGACAATTTAACAGATGTATTACTGAGCATCTGCCTTCATGGTTGGGAAAAGGACAAATAAAATCCATCAGAAGTTAGGTTTTATCTCACCTCGTTGATAGTGGTCACTTGGTAGATAAGAACAATGCTTTCACGATTATTCACCGCATACCACCTCATCTTTCGAAAGGTACTCGAACTCGTCTTTTACACATAGCAGAAGCTGTAGGAATTTGAGCTAATAATCCTAGTCTTCGTATCTAGAAGAAGTTTGTACACCTCTTATCTCTCCTTTAGCCAGGGAATACTTAATAACTTTATCACTGAATTTCTTTTCTCTACCCCATTCTTATTCTTCACTCCTTTCATATACTTTGTTTGTCCACTTACCTCGTCCTTCGGTATTAGGTAACCTCCCTTTTTCCAAGCTTCTGACCCAGTTTTATTATCCGATTGTCTCCATTTTCATGCAGCTTTCTCGGTTCGTATCATCAATATTGCAAGTGCTTCAGTCAATGTTATCACTTCTATCGTTATTATTATTTGTATTATTATCACAATCGTTATTTTAAAACATTTATCACATTAACCGGCAAATCTACATAATTGGTTTAATTTTACATATATTACGGTATTTGTATTAGAGTTAAGCCTGAAGAGGATCTAACAAAAAACAATATTGTTCGCTTACATGTCTTGCTCTAATTTACATAATGAAAACACGTGTTGACTGACTTTTGGAATATGTTGACAGTATGACTGATTGATAACTGTACATGATTCGACTTATTGAATGAAGCCTTCACTATGAATTAACGTCACAAGATAGCAAGATAGCTGTCCAAGTACGAAATATCTGTAGGAAATTCGAAGAAACGTACTTACATCAATGAACATTTAAAAAAATACATTCTTATTACTATTATTAGTCCCTTTGGTTCCTAGTGGAACACAGGGCTTCAGTAGCACGTCTCTAATGAACTCTGTTCTCTGAGATCTTTTGAACCTGGCTCCACGACAGCCCAGAAGCTCTCATTTCCTCCTCGCACGACCTCCTCCATGTCACCCTCAGCTGCGACGCCCAACTCGTCGCTTCCCATGGGGATTCCACTCGAGCAACTGACCTGACGCGTGATGTCCCCAGTCGGCTTTCTCAGTGTATGCCCAATTCATCTCCACTTCCTCCTGCATACTTGTTGGGTGAAAGGTTCTTGGTTGGTTCGTTCCCAGAGCTCCTTGTTGCTTATTCTTGTTATTCTGGCCATCTGATCTTCAGTAGCGAGCTAGCGTAAGCAGTTGTTGATGAATGTCTGTAGTTTATTGGAAATGCCTTTCGTAACGCGCCAAGTCTCTGAACTATACAGAAGCACTGACTTGACGTTGGTGTTGAGAATCCGTATGTTGTTGTTTTTGTTGAGTGTGGAAGATCTCCACACTGGTTTCAGGCTGATGAACGTCTGTCTTGCTGTTTTTCCGATTCTGACTTTGACATCCTGGTCTGTGCCGCCTGTAGTTGAAACAGTGCTTCCTAGATATGTGAAGGAGGTTACTTCCTTTGAGTTTCTCCCGTTGATGGTGATTGGAGTTTGTTGTTGTTGTTGTTGGAGTTGTTGGTTGGGTATCTTGATCACCTCTGTCTTCTCTATATTCACTTGAAGTCCCGTCTTCACTGCCCTGCCTTGCCTCTTCTGTCAACTTGTTAGTTTTTGCCTGTAGATCTTCAAGTTGTGTGACATCAGACATAAGTCATCGTTGGCGAAATCCAGATCTTCTATGTTCTTTTCCTTAGTCCAGCCAGCGTATCCCCCTCTTCTCACAGTTGCCCACTGTTTGCTGCATGATCCAGTCCAGTTGACCACAATGAGGAATATCATGGGGGATAGTAGGCGGCAACCTTGTTTCACTCCTGTCTCCACCTCACTTGAAAAGCATCACTGAGCTTCCCATTGTGAATTACTTGGCTGTCATGTGGCGTCTTCATATAGTTGTTGAATGAGGCGGATAAAGGTTTGTGGTATTCCGTAGTGTTGAAGCAGTTTCCAAATTACCTCTCGGTCGACACTGTCAAAGGCCTTTTCAAAGTCGATGAAGTTGAGGTAAGGTGAAGAGTTGACTGCCATTCTATACTCTGTTCTATGATGATGCGTAGTGTAGCGTTGCAATTTGGTCGGCACATGATTTGTACTTCCTGAATCCAGCCAGCCTGTTCTGGTCGTAGTTTTGAATGCAGTGCATTGTTTAGCCTCTCCAGGATGATGCGGCTTAATATTTTGCTTGGGATGGACAGGAGAGTGATTCCTCGCCAGTTCTTGCAAACACTGAGGTCTCCCTTCTTTGGGAGTTTGACAAGGTAACCCTTCTTCCAATCACTAGCCAGTTACCTTCTCTTCCTTCCAGATCTTCTGCAATAGTGGTGTGAGCATGTCTGCTGTTGTCTCTGCGTCTGTTCTCAGTGCTTCTGGCAGGATTCCATCTGGTCCTGCTGCTTTCCAGCATTTCAGTAGCTTTATGGTGTTCAGGACTTCGACTTTTGTTGGAGGATTTATGTTGACTTGTAGTTCTGTGGCTGGGCTGTAGGTGGTATTTGTGGACGAAGTGCATTTGGTGGTCGATTCAAGAGCTTCTTGAAGTGGTCGGCCCATTGTTTCTTTTGTTTCTCTTCTTTGGAAATAAAATTTCCTTCATCATCTTTTGTTGGTTTCATCTGTGTCGATTTCTTCTCAGATAATAACTTGGTTATTAGATACAATGTTGTCAGGTCTGTGTTACCTGCAGCCTGTTCTGCTTCACTTGTCAGTGTTTCGTAGAAGTGTCTTTTGTCTTTGCGTACACTCTTCTTCACTTCTTTGTCCAGTGTAGTGTTTTATACATTGCACTCAGTTCCTCTTGTCGTTGAGCATCCTTACACTGGTTTATCTTCTGCTTCACCATCCTCCTCTCCCTGCTCTATCAGCTTCCATGTATCCATTGAGATCCATTCCTTGTCTTCTTTCTTCTTCCCTGCTTCCTAATACGGCTGTGCAGGTTTCTTTCTACATAGCTTTCAAAGACTTCCAGTGTTCATCCACATAGGTTTGTTGAGGGATGTTGCTCGAAATCTCCCATTTTGTCTTGATGGCTGGTGTGAAGATGTTATTTGTAGTTTCATCCTTCTGTTTCTGTTCTGAGTGTTGTACTTGAACTGCAGTCTATCACCAGCTTCCTTGAAGGCTTTCAACTTGATTTGGAAGGTAGGTTCCTTGTACTAGATGGTGAGTGGTGTGAACCTGCATCTGCTCCCCTTCTTGATCTTGTGTCAAGTAGACTGCGTCTCCACTTTCCTGAGATTGAGTCGGAGTCGATCTGATTTTTAGTGTATCCTAGTATCTAGTGAAATCCATGTCGGTTTGTGGATATCCTTGTGCTTGAACACACTGCCTCACTGCAATCACCAAATCGTTGAATGCACAGAATTCTGCAAACAATTCTCGATTCTCGTTCATCACCTCACCGAATGCTTCTCTACCTGTGTTGTCCCCTCCCAGTTTGGCATTCATGTCGCCCATTAGAATTTTGATATCGCCAACTGGGATGGGTCTTGTCGAGTGTTGATTGAAGTTGTCTGTAGAATTCCTCCTTTTTCTCTTCATCTGCATTATTTGTAGGTGCATAGCGTTGCATTGTATGATTGTGACTTTTCTTCCTTTCGAGTTGAACCTTGCTGTCATGATCCTGATTGTGGAGGAGATTGGTTCCCACTGCATGAGAGAGAGCCTTCGATGCTGTTGGGGACATGATGATAGCCACTCGGGAACTCAGTGTGCTGTACTGGTGGTTGTCGTCTGAGTGACAATATCGGAGTAGATTATTGATTCTCCTCTCCAGTTGACAGTTGGGAGAATTCACTTTCATTCCACCTGCTTTCGCAAATCCTAAGCACTTCAGTGTGATACCTTCTCATCTCGTTTGCAATCTGGGTAGCCTTGGTGGGTTCAAACATAGTGCGGACATTCCATGTCGCCATGTTTACTTTCGCTTTCATCGAGAGAAGACACATCGGCCAACAATTGGCTTCCCGAAGGCTTTCACCAACTGGCGTCATTTCGCCTCTCCGATTCGAGCGAGGAATAATTTTGTTATTATTTTTTATATTTTGTTTGTGCTTTGAAGTTTCTGTGGTGGTTGGATTTGTTTTACGGGGTAGGGTTGCTAGCCGTATGCCCAACCTTCCCTCTTTACCCGGGTTAGGACCGGCTAGTAACTAGTGAACTAGTTAACCAGGCGAGGTTAGAAAAATACATGGTTAGACGTTATTTTGCAAATCAATACAGATTAACTAAAATCACCTGAAGGTCACTGACCAACTTATTGTTTTAAACTCAAATTGGTCAGTTTTCCGGTCATCATATCAAACATTGAAACTTTTAAGTGACTATTCTATTTGCATATTATGCTCTTGGCGCTTACTTTCGGTTTAGTTTGCAGTTGTATATAGCTTACAACGCAGTCATATAATCTTTTTATTAGTTACCTCTTCTCTTTTTATCTTAATTTCCTTTATTTTAGTTACCTGTTAATACGAATTCTAACGGAATAGGTTTACCAGATACGACATTTTGTTTCAAGCCTACAAAATGTGCATGTGATCGTTCAGTAGTGTCAAAATGTGCAGAAACGCCTATGGATTTCGATGTACCTCCACTAATAGGATCCTCTAATTTAACTACAACAGCGACAAAAGCAACAAGTGATGCTACCGTAATTCAATTAACTGAGGATAAGGAAGTTATTGACTTGTCAAGTGAGGAGGAGGACTTCAAAGTTAAAACAAATGGAGATGGAATGTCGCATTTACATGCAGATGATAGTTGTCATCATCTTTCAGATAGTTGCATTAATAATAAACAATGTAGCAAATGGAGTTGTGGACCAAGAGGTTATCGTGTTCTGTCACTTGATGGTGGGGGCATACGTGGATTGATCATTATAGAACTACTACGTGCTCTAGAGATAGCTAGTGGGAAAAAAGTTACTGAATTGTTTGATTGGATCATTGGTAATACTTTCTATTGGAAGTTGTTCATTAATCTGATTTTTATTACTAATCTGTATATATGATTATGTATCATTTATTTTCAGAAATCAGGAAATGTGAAGATAATTTTCTTGCCCAGATAAGTATCACTCCACCTGAAAACTGGTGAGCACAAACAGCATTCGCATCTACAATATCAGACTCTGCAATGATGGGTTATATTAAAGAATTCTTTCAGTTAGGAAATTCCTTGCCATTTTAGCCATTTTATTCAACAGTTTTCTGCTATGAATTGCGGCTGTTCTTAATGTCATGCACTGATGACAACCACTTTCATCGGCAGCTTTATCTTGTGTGCAGGATGTGGTTTGAAGGGTTTTTAATTGGTTTGAACTTGCAATGAAACTATCCTCATATGCATTCAGTGTACGGTTGAAATTCTGGCGTAATAGTTAGTACTCATTAGAAATAAGTTGTCCATCTCACTTCCATACTTATGAATTTCCTAGATTTCCAGCTTGTCGGCACTCGTCAGCAAAGCATATTCACGATCTTTGAGGGGACGTATGTCCCTTTTGAGATTCGGACCCCCATCACCCACTGTCGTAGTCAGCGACATTGTCACTGAGCTATTCGGGACGTGATTGACCTCCTGTGGGACTAACTTAGACATATTGATTGTTCATTTGAGAGCGACTACTTTCATACTGTTTTTACTTGAGTGCTTATCAAATTCTCTGGATCATTTTTTAGAAGGTTGGGTATCGCCTTGCTGACGAATGCTAACAAGCGCGAAACTCAGGTTCAGAGCTTTCTGCCGATTTCCTCTAGCTAAATAAGACTCATCAAAGTGCACCAGTATGCGGAACCTCCTAGCCTGATGGTCGCGTTGCAAAATGATCGATACAATTCGATCAACATATAGAACTTAGATTTAGATAACATATGATTGGGTGCTCTTCAATGACCAATCAATTTAATAAATTTCCTTACCGGTCACATTACTCTATGACTACAAGTACAAACATTATCGGAGGAAATAACATTAAACAGACCTGTTGAATTACCTTAGCAGCTAATTTAAAAATCGCAGACTTCTTGTACATTCAGTAGCTTTGGAAAAACAAACAAATTTACACTCGTTATACTTTCAGTTAATGCGAAGCATGGAACAACAGGCTTAGCAATTAACCAGTTGTCATCTGTTTATTGTCAATTGTTGTTCGCTTATCACTTTCTTATCATTGCACTGAAAAGATTTAAAATTCAGAATATAAGGATATATACTCTTATCATATCACCGGTACACTGAAACTTGTTTTATTCTGGAAGATTTCCAAAAGTACTAAACTATTGTGTTATTTCACTGAAACTCCTTTGTCTACTGGAAGTCTGAGTAGTCAAATCATCATATACTTTGTAAGGTGAAGAATGAAATACATCCGATTGATATGTACTGTTGCATCAAGATTGTCACAGTTGACTCTTAAGTTTTCATCACGTTGTAGTAACTGTATGTGAAATGCCAAGTACTGTGGTATAACTTCATTAATTTTTAAAATGTAATTTGGAGTTTTTATTCTGTTACACCAAGAAATTTCTATTATATCTTCTTAGTGCGTTCTGTAACTTGATCTCCAGTAAAATACGTACATTTTGTGAGCAAATATGCGGCCTATCTGCTATTTCATATAATTCTCTTCATACAACATATCTCAATTAATATAAGTAAAGTATCTTATATATAATCGATCCCCGTATATCACAGCATTTCCGGAACATGGTTCAACTCCAAGTGTATAAAAGTGAGAGATTTATATTTTACATACCGTGAGATTATTGAAGGATTCCTTGTAGAAGGGATCGTTGAAATACATACACTTGATAAGAATGAGATTGAGCAAATGTATTAAGTAACTGATAACACAAATTATAACATTAAATCCAATAATTTTACCGGATAACATACATATAGATGATTAATAAGAACTCTAACTACGGATCCTTGAACTTGAAGAAATCCCTGTAATGTTTCGACGCTACTAGTTTAGTGTTCGCACTACAGACGTGACTGACAGAAATCGATCAACATTCAGGACTATATAGCATGACATTTATTGCTTTTCTGTTTCTCATAAGTTTATCGTATCAAGTATTTCATGCTGGTTATTTGCAGTGTACGTAGTTCAAGGATATAATTGACTACAGTACTGAGTGGTATGAGTTTAAATCCCTTAAGCAAAAATTTTCTCTTCAAATTTACAAACTAATTTTGCTAAGTTTCCAATAAGCATGAAACTTTGGTCGACAGTTTTCTAAACGTTTTCTCTAACTATCCAAGGCACTAGCATCCACCTGTAAGCTTGTCTTTGAAGGTATTATGGATTTTTGAATGTGTAGTAATGGTTTACTGATTACATCTTTCGACATTTAAGTGAATAAACTTTTTATTAACGGAATGATGTTTAGTCTTCGTGTTTTATAAATATTTACTGATTCATTCGTCCTGTACCTTGTCAACGGTTTTTTTTTACTAGGTACATCTACCGGTGGAGCAATATCATTATTTGTAATGTGTGGCAAGTGTTTACATTGTTGTCGTACTTTACTATTTCGATTTAAAGATCTTGTATTTTGTGGAAAACGACCATATCCATCTGAAACATTGGAAACACTTATGCGTAATGAATTCGGTGAAAACACTGTAATGACTGATTTAAAACATATCAGGTAATCACTTCTTTTTATTTAACTAATTTGATAATATTCCAACATTTGATTACCTTTACTGAATTTTCTTTGTATCAGAAAAATGATGATTTTGATACTGGTTGGAGTAAAACAGTTGAGTTGGATTATAGTACAAAAGTTGATAGGAACTTCCATTTTTCTTGACTTTATCACAAATGTACGTGTATTATGTGATATAAAAGAGGGGAGACTTGTGGTTCATGATTTTATATGATGTAGGTTAAAATTGACATCCGTGTATGCATATGTTTGTACTTTGCAGGCACTTTGTTTCGGCTTAAGCATTAAATATTATCCCTATTTCATGCCTTTTCATTTCTAATGTTCTCATTATGTGCTTTCAATGTATACAATCTTAAAGAAAAAATGAAAAACTTATCTTTAAATGCACAATCCTAGCTTTCAATTCAATATGACTGAAGCTTCAGCAGGATGGGGTGAAAATTAGAATAGTGTACTCAAAAACACGTTTCTCATTCACTTTTTGTATCATTACAAGTCATTGGGCTAAACTAACGCCTTTTATTTGATTTTGTTAATATTATTATTGCATAAGCTTTTCATTTAGACACTATTCCATTTCTTACACTGACAATTAAAAGGCCTTTTTTACACACTTGCCATTTCTTGATTTCAACTCACGCTTCTTCAACAGTTACTGACTAAAGCTTTCAAATATTTTAGTGCTACTTATGTGATTATCATTCCCATATTGTTTTCTTAACGGTAACCGAACAAAAATTATAATTTCCTAGGTCGTATTTACTTTGAACAACGTAAGAAAGGCTTAGGTTTGCAGAATAAAATGATACCTTGTTGGAAAAAATATTCGTCAACTGCATGTAGCCTGACGTTACAATAGTTGTTACATCGGAAATGTGTAATAACATAATTTAACTATAATGTATTAAATTATGATAATTGTTTGGTGCTCTGAATTTGGACGTTTTATCTCCAGGTCAGTCATCGACACTTTTTTTAATTGTCATCCTCACTCTGAGTTAGCAATCTACCCTACTCTATTGATGTACAGCGGAGCAGAACGCACTCAGCCATCTTGTGCACATCCGTGCAGTAGGCCATGAGCCACACATATTGTGCAACGACTGGTGACACTACCTGGATGCTCAAACCCTGGTAGATGTAGTAGGATGCTACTGAATGATAGCGCATAAGGAAATATAAAATTAAGGAATTTAAAGCACTTAGATAGCAAACACTCTAGATTTTTCAATTGATGTTATAAGCAAAGAAGTTAACACTTGTATAGAACAGAGTGAGGAATATTAAAAAAGGAACAAACAATTCTAGCAAACAAATGATATAACATGTGAAAAAAGTGACATTCATAAGATAGTTATCAACTCATTGAGTGAAATTCAGTAGGTGAGTAAAATAACGAATTGGATAATTAAATTGAAATAATATCAAATTACAGTCATCATGAAAGTGAGCAATTGCTTACACTATTTGTGTGGATAAATTTATGAAATAAAATATCATTTTATTCTGAGAATGTAGCCTGTTTGCTTTGTTCATATTCACCAAGGGAACTAAGTGTATGCAATTCACATTTACTTCTTACTACTATTAGATGTAAACACATTGATTATATTTAAATGGAGTTATTACAGCTTTTGAGTATGTATTATATATTACTTAGGAAAATTTAGCTCACTGAATTCTTTATTTTCATATCCCGATACAAATATTTACATATGAAAAGTGAACTTATTCATACTTCTGAGTAATGATTCAGTTTGAGTTGATTGCATCATGGGTTCAATTCTCACCCTACTTACTTCTCTCTGGTAATCAAATATTACTACTATCCCTAACACAACAAGGTTGATTTTATAGGCAGGCTAGTAAATAAAAGTATAACAGGTTAATTTACTTTAATTCATATATACTATTGTGATCGATTTCAAATCGTGCTACGTATCTGTAAAGTCAGCACCTTATTGTGAATATCAAAGACAGTGAACTTCAAAGATGAGATTCCATACAATTTTCATCCTTTCAATGAGAATATATGTGTTGTAATTTTCGCTAAAAATGACTACTAGCATCTATGAATGTACTTTTCTTTGTGATAATCGATTCTGCTTGTTTCTTTTCAAACGATATCTGATCATTGGCTTTAATTCAATTCCGAAACCCTCTTTACTATAGATTAATCTTAAAGGTGAATAATCTCTTCCATCATTTTTGTTTAGAATTGGAGATCTTGAAGGAATCGATTAACTTTGATGAAGTTCTTATAATGGATCAACATTGACTAAAAAAACTATTGGAAACAGGTGGACACTAAACACTTGTTTCATCCTGATTTGAGATATAGTTTTGCGGAATTCGAGCCCAGAGCGATCAGATCCTCGTATAAAGTATTATTACGAGTTAATGTAATACTCCTTAGTTTAATGTGCATTGACATTTATATATTTGGTCGGAGAATGATACCGTCCTGTTTCGTTGACAGTGTCATACAGTAATCCAAGTTTACAATTATTTTTATACAAACATAATGTCTCTCCTGAATTCTTTGATGATATTCGTCTTAGTTACTGTTGATTATGTACAATAGATTTTTTGTGTACTAGTTTTTTTAAGACTGAATTTATTTGCTTGATTTCATTGTAGCTGCAGACTTGTTAACAAGTCAGTAATTTGCTCATTTCATTATTCTGATTCTTCACCTTTTTTACTTAGGACATTCAAAACGGAACAATAAATTATTACAATGATAGTTGCATGAACTGTACTTTAATGTCTTATTTCAGTTTCTGTGAAGCATCTCTGACACCAACGACAATTATGTTACTGTCTATTTACGGTTGATTGTACTGGTCTACATCGATATCCGTCCTTACAGTTGTGATGTTTAGTCGTGGTAAGAAGAAGATATGAAAAGGCTACATATTTTTAGTGACAGGTCTCTCAATACCACTATTGTTTTGGATGGTAACATAGAGCACGCAATAATGAGGGTTGGTCATAAAGTAAATTTAGGTGTTAAGTAAATCCTTCATCGAAATTTTGAATTTACATGGAGTTGTAAGTCATTATTTTAGGGAGTTGATTTTCAACCAATGGGTTAAGAGTTCGAACAACCCCTCCACCTATCGTGGTTTGAGTAACTACGCAGTGTCATCATCCCTCACACACTATATGTGGCTCATTGCCTAACGCACGAATGTGCCCAAGTGGATTTCGATTCGACATCAACCAAAGTGGATCAGATACATATTGTGTACATGCCGAGCCATCCCCTACATCGTCCCACCATGTTAGCCTAAGTATGAATAGGTTGGAAGGTAGTTAAGAGTTGCCAAATCAAGACCTGGCACCCACCCAGAAAGTTTCTATCTGTCCGAAACATTTAGGGAGATGTAGACAATATGAATAGAGTCCTGAAGGTATTAAAAATGTGTAGTCGACGACGCGCTATGATATGACACAAAATCAAGCACGGTGCAAATGATTTATTCACCCTCGAAATTTCGAATGTTTTCGCCAATGTTTATTTATTTTCTCTTTGCTCTTACACACTTTTTTATAGTTTAATATCACCCTCTTGTTTGACTGTTATTGTGAAATGTAGCAGTTTGAACTGACTCATTGAGTTGTATAATTTTTTAAAGGATCCATAACCACACCAGTTTAAAAGCGTGAGGTTCCAAATAACCAAACGGGTAATTTTAACCATGAAACCCCATACTTTCAACTCCAGAGCAGTTTGATAAGTAAACGGGTTTAAAAATTCTTGTTAGCATATTAGTATATCAATTTACTATCTCTGTGTTTGAAAGATATGAACTTTTCTGTATCGAATTACATAAGTTTAAAAACTTCAACCCAGTTAGACATTTTTCGCTACTACATTTTCATGAAATAATTTACAAATTTTTTTCATCTTTCGAAAATACAATAAGGGTTGCTGTGACAACACTTGTAGGCGATCGATGTCCACCACTTTTACACATGTTTCGTAATTATAAATCACCTCGTGCTCGAATACAACATATTATGGAAACACGTCAATGTCGGTCAAAATCTTTCGCTTGTCCATCATCAGTAAACAAAAACAAAAATGGACTTAATCATCGTCGGTCTACTTCAGTTGTTCAAGAATCGTCAGATCGTGAGACACAATCTCCAAAATCTCCATCCCTTTCAACTTCGCATTCTATCTTAAACTTTTTTATGAATGCCCAAGGTTTGTTAACAGGCAATGAAACAAATACCAGTCTTTCTTCTTCAGATGTTGAAACCGGTGATCAATTTGAACGTATACCTCCGGATAATGAACAAGTAAGTTTTTTGTTGATGGTTATCAACAAAAAGAAATAGAAATTTGCATTATATCCAAAATGTTTGTAACTTATAGTAAAGTTATTGCTTACTTGAATAAATTATGAGCATAATTATAACTAGATATTAAATATCTACCACTTCTAGTTAACCGGTATATGAAAAACTTGTTGGAAGCATTGGATGAATTTCATGCTACATCGTATGTTATAAATTCTGTATCGGTCATGGTAACACACTGATTAGTTATTAGTAAATAGCCTGTTTTTCTACTATGTGAATGTCTGTCAGCATAATGTATACATATTACTACCATTATATTTCCTAAGAGAATACAGCTTACTCCATTCAGTATCAGAGTTTCTGTTCGTCTATGTACATATAGGCTATTGAGGCGATAATAAACCTTTCATTGTTCATATTTTCTTCTTCAGCAGTATGGCCATCGTGTATTGAAAAGAATTAATCTTCGGTGTTCGAATGTCCTTGTTATTTCATCTATTTTAGATGTCTGTTTTTAGTTTGTTAAGCATTTATTTAAATACCTCAATCTATATGCTTTTCACAGTAAATATTGTAAATCCTTCACGTCCTAAAACGTTGTATGCACATTTGACTGATTTTATGAGGTGCGTGCGAGGGAACTTAATTCATTAACTTTATTATTCTGGCAGTTTTCTTTCATAAAAATTCATGCCAGAAGCTACTGTCTAAAAAATTGATACATAAAAGAATAACAGCTATTCAGTAATCAGCAATGTCTCTTCGCCAATATCCACAAGTCGACACAGTTTAATGAAAGATTCTTGTAGGAATGCATATAATTAGAAAGTAGAGTCATAATGGGACATGCAAGAAGTTGTAATAGTTGACTGATGAAGATTGTTGAGGAAAGAAGACACTATATCGGGTAGGAACACTGCACACTCATTCCAAACAATAATATATTTGTAAATGTGACTTTATTGTAAAGCTCAATATTTTTATCTCTGTTTAATTGTGATTTCCGGATAAATAATATTCGCTACTTCATTGCACTTCTTTTTTTATCTTTATGTGAATCTCTTTTTCCATGTAAATTGAATCCATAATAACAGTTGTGCATTCAACTGTTTTACTGTCACTCTTAGGTACATGTGCATGATGAAGCTTCTAATGAATTTAAACAATTGATGGTTTTTGCATCTCATAAATTCATAATTAGTACATGAATGAAAGAAAGTCACTTAATAAAAAAATGTCATTATTATTTCCAAAACGTGATACCTAAAGTCAATTGTTCTTTATCATACACTTAAGGATTTTCGCTAAGCTCTAATTTTGTTACTCAAAGTAGCATAGTGATCCAGGCCTTTTACAAGTTTCTAGTATCAAAACTTGTGACAATACATTCATTTTTTTCTGCACCATCATTGGTTAGAGTCCTGAATATATGCACGTCCAGTTTCGTCTGCTTCTCACTTTGTTCTAACGTGTTAGAGTTAGGGAACTAGTTTATCAAGTCTCCTTTCAGTTCATTTCAATATATCGTATTACATTATCATTGTCTTCGAATAAATTCTTTTCAGACTCTATGGCTATAAAATTCAAATTACTTATCGTAAATAGTGGGACTAGACTTATGCATGTTAAATTGAAATGGAATTCGAATAAGGATTTTTTTTGGTAGATTAGAGTTTGTACATGGTGGAATGATTTATGAATTAAAAGTAATTATAATGTGAGTGAAATTTTCAATTAGACTATCAAAATAATGATGCTTAATCATGATAAAAATAGGAGAAGGAATAACAGCAACATTAGTTGAGGCTGCATTTTTGTTTGGTCAATGCATTGGTACAGCAAATGATATGAACTAAATAAAAGATTGTAGAAATGCGATAAATTGTTGATCAAAAAATAGTATGTGTAAAATGATTGAAAACATATCAGCTAGTGAACGATTTCATGGCGAAAGCCATCCTCAAGTTCAACCACCTACCCATAGAGTACCTAATTGAACAAATTTATTTTCTGGATAATTTTGAAACGGAGTTCCTAACCATCACAAATTCATAGTTAAGCTCATGGCTCTGCTATCGTTATAATTTATTTCATTAGGATAAAAATTGTGCTACTGATCAACAAGAAACATTTATTTAAGTCAATAATAATTATGTTCACATCTGATTGAACTATTGGAAAATCATCAGCATGTCTGCTCTAATTATTACTAGTGAGTGATATCCTTCGTCTTCACCTTCATTTATCTGCCTAATAATATTGTTTGTAATAATTTCACAGTATTACAATTTTATTTTATTACTAGCTGGTTTGGAAAGCTGCTCGTGCATCAAGTGCTGCACCAACATACTTTCGACCTTGTGGACGTTTTCTGGACGGTGGACTGATCTCCAACAATCCGACGTTGGATATTCTGACAGAAATTCAAGAGTTGCATCTGCTTCAACGTTTGAAGGTTAGTGATTGAAGTGGAATTGTCTAAGTTTAACTTGAGAAGAAATGGATATATATATATATATATATATATATATATATATTTATATATATATATATATATATATATATATATATATATATATATTCAGTAGCACGTCACCATTTCACTGTGTTCTCTGCAGTCTTATCAACCTGGCTCCACGACTGCCCACAAGCTTCCATTTCTTCTTCGTACGATCTTCTCCATGTCACCCTCGGACGCCAAATGTGACTTGCAGTTAATAAAAACCAACTAACCTTGAGTCTAAAAGTTATTGTCTTTCGGATCTTAACCACGAGACTCACATCTCTGTATGAACTTTACCAATGAATATCGAAGCTCTACTAAATTACCCTGGTCTTTCTCTTTCTACTAGGTGTGCATGAGAACTTTGAATACTGTTGACTACATTCACACTTGTTGTACCATGTAAAAGGTTTAGCAGCACTAAGGTAATTGTAGATATTGAATCATTTTTTGACTGAGAAAAGTAAAACAACTGCGATAGGAAATGTCAACAGATATTTTAGATAATTCTGTCTTAATTTTAACGGATACAGAATAAGGATGTTATCACTTAAAATACATGTCGTGAATGCATAAGAAACTGAGAGTAGGCAACCGTTTTTGCTACCAAGATATTAATCTTTTATGCTATTGAAGTTAATGCTAACTTTAGAAACACCAGGATAACCTTATATTTCACTAATGTTATTCGATTGATCCATCACCATGTGTTCACACAAATGATGTTGGTTTAAACCGGTTTATCACAAATAGTTCACTGTAGGTTAGAATGCTGTGGATCCATTTACATAATTAACAATATCGTCACTTGTTTGCTCTGAAAACTGACTGATAAAATCAACGTAAAACCTCGTACACAGGTGTGTCGACTCAGTTTACTACAATTCACAGTGGTATACAGAAAACAGTTGCCTAGAAATAGACTGAAATAAAAGTAGAGAAAGTTGTGTGAGCGAATAAACAATCTGAACATAACGGATAATGCAAATATTCAAGCTTCAACAAGAGTGAATACATTCGCGTGATTATGATAGATTTCCAGCCATGTCACCAGGAGTCCTCAACCACCGATTCTTATCATCTTAGGGACCCTGACCACTCAGTCTACATCTCTGCACTCACCAACAGTCAGGTTGCTTTGAAAAACTGCAAGTTGAATTAAAGTTTCAAAATATTCCAATCTTACAATACAGAAATTGAGAACAATTCATAAGTCAAGTATTTATTCTTATTTCCAACTTTACTTTTAACTCAAATATCATTTCTCTACTACATTACTAATTTTAGATGCGTTCAACACGTCACGCACGTTTGTTTGAACTACTTTTTTTTCAGTTCACTCTTAGTTAAGTCAGTACTACGTGTCAGGGTAGATTTTAATTCATTCTCACAAACCCATCAAATAATTTGATTCTATTGCTTGTGAATATACCTAATTTTTTTTACCGTTCTCTAAATAGCTGTGACTCTAGGTACCCGAAATAAAAACATGCATAATTTCCATTCTTACCATTGCTGACTGTACTGTGACTACTTAAATTGTGTAACCTATCAATTAACTGCTCAGAAATAACTTCATTACTTATAAACAATTCAATGACTGCAATCTGGGAGGAAGATTTAACTTAAATAATGAGAGGTTGAAATAACAATAATGGTGATTATAATAATGTTCCTAGTTGATGACGTTTGAATAGTTTCCGGTGTTATTTCATTTTATCTTTTTAATAATTGCAACTTTTAGCAAAACATTTTCAGTTTATTCCAGTTAACTTGCCTCATTCATATTACCTAATCCTTTGATTGTTTATTAATTCTACCACGTTTTTACCCCTTTGTAATCTATATGCACCTTATAAACGATTTAAAAAATCTTATGTAACTTTTCAGTTATCCTTCAACATTTACGTCATCAACTAGCAACATTATTATTATAACCATCGTTGCTGTTAATTACATATTCATCTCATCCTAGTTGAACTTAAACCAAAATCATCGTCTTTGATCAGGTTTCTTTTAAATCAAAAAGGAATAAGTGGTTCATTCCTTCTGTTAATAATAATAATCGCTTTATTCCAAACAGCATGTATGATACAGTATGAAACTTTCCGCTTAGAGTATTTCAACAAATTCACTTTTTGTATAATATTTTTACAAGAAATGATGATTACGTCTGCATAGTGTTAATAATAACAGTATTGAAGACATAAGTGAGAAACGGGCAGTTAGTGTTACATTTGTATCTGTTCTCCATTCGGAAATGAACACAAAATTGAGTATGATTTCGATGGTACCAATTCAATCAGCCAGTAAAAAAATTAACAATCCCATACATGTATCTTAGAAATAGTAATGTGGTATGTTTTTGAGCATTTATAAATCCATTTTTAACCGGCGGAACGTTTTTCCTATGTTTTGTCCTTACCTTGAAAAAACGAAGGTTCGAAAAAACTTTAAGAACGTACAAGAGTACACGATGCATTCAAACGACATTTAAGAGATTTTTTTAAAACAGAAAGGGATGAATTTGATGAAATATAATCGATAGAAAGTTTTTTCTTCCAAGGTTTAAGCAGGGCACCTGCATATCTCGACTTACCTGCTAGGTACCGTCCACACAGTGTGAAAGATAGGTTCTGGTTAATCTTCCACAGATCTCATCTTCGCAGCTGATGAACTCAGCTCAAACGCAAAGATGTTGAGCTTGATAAAAATACGTGTGAATGCAGAAATAACTGGACGATTATCCGAGTATATTAAGGATGCTTATTCTGATTTGGCCTGAAGTCACTTTGCTATGGAAATATCAGTTTAAATGTTCAAAGGCATACAAATCTTGCCTGCATTGTCTGAACTGAATAATGCATGAAAACTTTCAGTTTGCGTCAAGCACTATTAGAAGTGAAGCAGTGTAGATTAGGACTGACAGAGTCTAAACAATGACTATGAACAAAGAAATCGGTGTTTTTAAGCTATAATAATATAATATAATACAGTGAAGTGCGACAACTTGAGCTGATGCATTTGTGTGAGATGTCCTACGTTGATTTTTTCTGTCTGTTCTTACTGTATATCGGTTGAAACATTCATCCACTCGTAGTATTCTTTCCCACTTTTTTAACTAGAAATACTTAATTTCAAACAGTTAGTCCCTTTTACCAATTTCGATAGTGTAATAAGAATACGAAGTTTATCTGAACGATGTGATGTATTTGCGTAATACATTTCGAACAATCTGACCACATATTTACTTATCAAGTCAATATATATTAAACCAAGGAGTGGGGGGACAAATACAACAATTAACACAATACGGGATTAAAATTAAGAAACATGATGTTCCTAATGGAACATAGGGCTTCAGTAGCACGTCTCCAGTGCACTCTGTTCTCTGAAATCTTTGGAACCTGGCTCCACAACAGCCCAGAAGCTTTCATTTCCTCCTCGCACGATCTCCTCCATGTCACCCTCAGCTGCGACGCCCAACTCGTCGCTTCCCATGGGGATTCCACTCGAGCAACTGACCTGACGTGTGATGTCCCCAGTCGGCTTTCTCAGTGTATGCCCAATCCATCTCCACTTCCTCCTGCATACTTGTTGGGTGATAGGTTCTTGGTTGGTTCGTTCCCAGAGCTCCTTGTTGCTTATTCTTGTTATTCTGGCCATCTGATCTTCAGTAGCGAGCTAGCGTAAGCAGTTGTTGATGAATGTCTGTAGTTTATTGGAAATGCCTTTCGTAACGCGCCAAGTCTCTGAACTATACAGAAGCACTGACTTGACGTTGGTGTTGAGAATCCGTATGTTGTTGTTTTTGTTGAGTGTGGAAGATCTCCACACTGGTTTCAGGCTAATGAACGTCTGTCTTGCTGTTTTTCCGATTCTGACTTTGACATCCTGGTCTGTGCCGCCTGTAGTTGAAACAGTGCTTCCTAGATATGTGAAGGAGGTTACTTCCTTCAAGTTTCTCCCGTTGATGGTGATTGGAGTTTGTTGTTGTTGTTGTTGGAGTTGTTGGTTGGGTATCTTCATCACCTCTGTCTTCTCTATATTCACTTGAAGTCCCATCTTCACTGCCCTGCCTTGCCTCTTCTGTCAACTTGTTAGTTTTTGCCTGTAGATCTTCAAGTTTGTGTGACATCAGACACAAGTCATCGTTGGCGAAATCCAGATCTTCTAGGTTCTTTTCCTTAGTCCAGCCAGCGTATCCCCCTCTTCTCACAGCTGCCCACTGTTTGCTGCATGATCCAGTCCAGTTGACCACAATGAGGAATATCATGGGGGATAGTAGGCGGCAACCTTGTTTCACTCCTGTCTCCACCTCACTTGAAAAGCATCACTGAGCTTCCCATTGTGAATTACTTGGCTGTCATGTGGCGTCTTCATATAGTTGTTGAATGAGGCGGATAAAGGTTTGTGGTATTCCGTAGTGTTGAAGCAGTTTCCAAATTACCTCTCGGTCGACACTGTCAAAGGCCTTTTCAAAGTCGATGAAGTTGAGGTAAGGTGAAGAGTTGACTGCCATTCTATACTCTGTTCTATGATGATGCGTAGTGTAGCGTTGCAATTTGGTCGGCACATGATTTGTACTTCCTGAATCCAGCCAGCCTGTTCTGGTCGTAGTTTTGAATGCAGTGCATTGTTTAGTCTCTCCAGGATGATGCGGCTTAATATTTTGCTTGGTTTGGGTGGACAGGAGAGTGATTCCGCGCTAGTTCTTGCAATCACTGAGGTCTCCCTTCTTCGGGAGTTTGACAAGGTAACCCTTCTTCCAATCACTAGCCAGTTACCTTCTCTTCCTTCCAGATCTTCTGCAATAGTGGTGTGAGCATGTCTGCTGTTGTCTCTGCGTCTGTTCTCAGTGCTTCTGGCAGGATTCATCTGGTCCTGCTGCTTTCCACATTTCAGTAGCTTTATGGTGTCCAGGACTTCGACTTTTGTTGGAGGATTTATGTTCACTTGTAGTTCTGTGGCTGGGCTGTAGGTGGTATTTGTGGACGAAGTGCATGTGGTGGTCAATTCAAGAGCTTCTTGAAGTGGTCAGCCCATTGTTTCCTTTGTTTCTCTTCTTTCGTAATTAAATTTCTTTCATCACCTTTTATTGGTTTCGTCTGCGTTGATCTCTTCCCAGATAGCAACCTGGTTATTTGATATAATGTCGTCAGGTGTCTGTCTCTCTTACCTGCAGCCTGTTCTGCTTCACTTGTCAGTGTTTCGTAGAAGTGTCTTTTGTCTTTGCGTGCACTCTTCTTCACTTCTTTGTCCAGTGTAGTGTTTCATACATTGTGCTCAGTTCCTCTTGTCGTTGAGCCTCCTTGCACTGGTTCATCTTCTGCTTCACCATCCTCCTCTCCCTGCTCTATCAGCTTCCGTGTATCCATTGAGACCCATTCCTTGTCTTCTTTCTTCTTCCCTCCTTCCTAATACGGTTATGCAGGTTTCTTTCTACATAGCTTTCAAAGACTTCCAGTGTTCATCCACATAGGTTTGTTGAGGGATGTTGCTCGAAATCTCCCATTTTGTCTTGATGGCTGGCTGCCGTGAAGATTTCCTTTGTAGTTTGATCCTTCAGTTTCCGAGTGTTGTACTTGAACTGCAGTCTATCAACAACTTCCTTGAAGGCTTTCAACTTGATTTGGAAGGTAGGTTCCTTGTACTAGATGGTGAGTGGTGTGAACCTGCATCTGCTCCCCTTCTTGATCTTGTGTCAAGTAGACTGCGTCTCCACTTTCCTGAGATTGAGTCGGAGTCGATCTGATTTTTAGTGTATCGTGGTATCTAGTGAAATCCATGTCGGTTTGTGGATATCCTTGTGCTTGAACACACTGCCTCACTGCAATCACCAAATCGTTGAATGCACAGAATTGTGCAAACAATTCTCGATTCTCGTTCATCACCTCACCGAATGCTTCTCGACCCATGGTTAGTTCTCTCCCTGTTTTGTCCCCTCCCAGTTTAGCATTCATGTCACCCCACCCATTAGAATTTTGATATCGCCAACTGGGATGGGTCTTGTCGAGTGTTGATTGAAGTTGTCTGTAGGATTCCTCCTTTTTCTCTTCATCTGCATTATTTGTAGGTGCATAGCATTGCATTGTATGATTGTGACTTTTCTTCCTTTTGAGTTGAACCTTGCTGTTATGATCCTGATTGTGGAGGAGATTGGTTCCCACTGCATGAGAGAGAGCCTTCGATGCTGTTGGGGACATGATGATAGCCACTTGAAAACTCAGTGTGCTCGTGGTTGTAGTCGGGGTGACAATATCGGAGTAGATTATTGATTCTCCTCTCCAGTTGACAGTTGGGAGAGTCCACTTCCATTCCATCTGCTTTCACAAATTCCAAGCACTTCAATGTGATAGCTTCTCATCTCGTTTGCAATCTGGGTAGCCTTGGTGGGTTCAAACATAGTGCGGACATTCCATGTCGCCATGTTTACTTTCGCTTTCATCGAGAGAAGACACATCGGCCAACAATTGGCTTCCCGAAGGCTTTTACCAACCGGCGTTATTCCATCTCTCCGATTCGAGCGAGGAATAATCTTGTTATTATTTTTTATATTTTGTTTGTGCCTTGAAGTTTCTGTGGTGGTTGGATTTGTTTTACGGGGTAGGGTTGCTAGCCGTATGCCCAACCTTCCCTCTTTACCCGGGTTTAGGACCGGCTAGTAACTAGTGAACTAGTTAACCAGGCGAGGTTGAGGAAGTGACTTAGTTGATTCTAATCGTGGTAACGAAACAAAGTTCATCAAGGTAGGTGTAGTGTGAGAACAAATTGTTTTTGTACATATAAAGGTGGTTTAAATTTGTGTATGGCTATGGCTTCCCCAAATCTCACTATACGTCCCAAACTGTTTTTATGTAAAACTTTGAAAGCTGTTTGAACATTAACTTTGTGACCTGTTTCTATGATATATTTAGCTATAGATGAAGAGGGTCATCTCCCACCACTCCCACTCCTTGGTTTAATATATATTGACTTGACAAGTAAACGTGTGGTCAGATTGTTCGAAATGTATTGCGCAAACACATCACATCGTTCAGATAAACTTCGTCTTCTAACTATCTTGTCGAAACACTTAATTATTTCAAGGGGAAATTTATGCAATAATATTCAGTAATGACAGTTGCTCATTTAAATAAAAAGAAACTTCAGTATATAGGAAGCAGTGTATACTTCGATTGTGTTTAAGTAAATTTGATACTGTTAAATTTATTTTCCTAAACACTTGGCACCCTGTCTATTAAGGTTTTAGCGTCTAAGTCCACCTACTAAGCTGTACATAGAGTAGGGATGACACACCGTCGACAACATGAATCTGCACGTACGTAATAAGTTGTATTATTGCTTAATAATATTTTTTGTATTTTCTTACTGATAACTGTCTTTGTTTTAAATAATCACTCACTTGAAGATTAGATCTTTGCCTCTATGTAAGTGTGTATCACTAACATTTCTCTTCTGTTCCACCCGATTTTTATAGAGTCACTTGAGCAAATTTGCTAACAACTTCATAGTGGGAAACGCTGTACAAATAAGGCTTCATTATACTATTATAAACCGGTCACTGAAAGAATAAATTTACTTATTCGACCGATTTTTATCTTCTGAGTATAAAAATAAACTTTATATGCAAAATCGCAGAATATCAATTCATATTTTGTAGAGTAAATACACTGAGATGCCACTATGTCTAGAAAAATAGTCAAAATAATCAAATCCAAACAAACTAAAAACTTTAAAAATATATGACAAAAGAATGTAGTTACAAATCCCGAAAGTGAATTTTTAAAATTTACTCTTTATTAGTGACATGTTTCTAGATGGATTCCCCGGATTTCTTATGAGAGGCTGTTATGTATGAGACCACGTAAGTCGAGTGTAAAGACTTACACTTATCAACCAAATGCATATAGTAATAGCGCTCATACAAATTGAGGGATCCTAACCCTCGCCTTAATGCTGCATCGATGATAACGTGCTCACTGTGAGACCAAATTGTCCAAGACTTTTTCCTATATTATACCGTAAGTGTGTACTGCTGAGGAGTTCCTAACCAAGGCAAGGTGTGTGTGTGTGATGAGATACCGTATGAAATCTAATACAAACAACTCTATAGTCATATAAAAAAAGTTATCTTGGTAAAAGTAACATATCAGTGAATTAAATATCAGGGATTAATTGTTAGAAATTAGGGTGAGTAAATCTAGGCGGTAAATGAGTGGTCACTTTTTAAAAACGTGTAGGTATGTGGAGTTAACAAGTTAGTAGATCCTTGGTAGTTGTCTCATTTTGAAATATATAAATGTATGGTGAACTTAAATTGGCAACCTCAAGGCCACTGTTCGAAACCTTATCATAACTTAATCTCTCTGTTAGCCGTAATCAACACTTTTATTTATATAAAACTATTTGTCCTCACGTGTTAACAGTCTTGCATGTTTTGATCATTAAGAGAAAGCTTCATTTACCGCTTAATTAAGTTACGTTTTTGAATAAAGCTACTTCTTTTTTCTCTACAGAACAAACCTGTAACTCCAATAGCAGTAGTCGTTTCTCTTGGAACCGGTCGGATGCCTGTTGTACCCGTGGAGACAGTAGATGTATTTCGTCCACAAAATATTATGGAGACCTATCGATCTGTTCTGGGGTTCAGTTTCCTTGGTCGTATTTTAGTCGAAGTTGCACCATGTCAGAAGGTGATTTATTTTTTTGAGATTGACATATGATATTTTAGTTAATTTATCGAAGGGAATATTACTTTATTACACTGACTGATAATTAGTGATGTTAAAAGTGAAATGACTATTTAATGCAACTGAAAGTCTCACAGGTTTATGTGCTAGGCTATGATGAGCCACACCTATCGTGTCATAGCCTTCAGTGCTACTTATTTGCTCAAGTCAAAGTATGTTGATTGAGTTTTGATCTCAGGACCTTTTCTTCCAAATCGAATACTTAAGCCAATCAACTACATAAATCACAGATTGATAGGTAGGAAGGGTTAGTTTATTCAGTAATCTGTTCGTATTTACCAACAGAAAAGTAAAACTCGGGCATCGTAGTTAAGTATTACTCTGAATTGTTTTATTTTTCTCATATTTCAGCAATCATGTGACCCAAGGGTTAAAGTCTGAACTTCATACTACCTCATTGTGTTGTTCAGCTTCAGTTAGCTACGAAGCATAGGGGAATGCACTTCGTATTGCATTCTAAATATATTTGACGACTTCATGTCGATATGTGTTCTCCTTCGTAGGATTGTCTAAATTACTTGGGACTTCTCACCACCAGTAACTTGAATAAGCTGGAGCAGCTTTTGACAATTTCAGAATCCAATTAGTCACGCACCGTTATCTTTAGCCCTAATGGTTTTCATGGAATCAACATTTTACTGAGTGCTGAGAGAAAACTACACCACATCAAAAACGTTTAAAGAACTCATTGAAAACCAGTATGTACAGGCCAAGATGTTGCCTAATACTGTGACCAACGTTTCTCTTTATTTGTTTTGAGTTTTGTAAATGTAGTTCCGTATACATTATGTCCTTCAAAAAAATCTATTTCTCGGATTAAAATTAATTTAGTTTCATACTTAATTTTAACATCTGCAGCCAGTTGATGAGCTTCAAACTGTTTATAGTGACGCCATTGTGAACTGTAAAGACACTAGTCTTCGTCAATATAAGTAATTTAATTCCTTTGGTGTTCTCTAAGCTTTGATATTTTATCGTGGACGTTTCAGTACCAGGCTTGGTGACGTCCTCGGCACTAAATTCATAAAGAAGTCCGTATGTAAACACTGCAGCAAGATATTTTGCCATAAACATTTGTGTAAGAAGAAAAGCTGCTCCTGAGTGGAAGCTCTCTGACCGGCGAAGTTCTCCCGTTTCCAAGCACAAAGAAGCGTGTTGCACTCAATATCAAAGCTCAGATAACATCAAACTACCATCATTCTCATCCTGAGTTCTAGATGTCTTCCATCGTTTCATGATTTTATCTACATTATCACCATAGAGTATTCATCATGGATCTGTGAAATATAATACACGATTACAGAATCTTTCTATTTTCTAAACTAAACCTGTAGGTTACCTTATGTGCATTACTCTGCGTAAGTTGGAAGCAATAAACCAGGCATGGTTGCATAATGTTGAAACATACTTTCAAGAAATTATCTATTTCAACATTCAGGGTTTTAAACTAAATCTTCCAACCGTATCAAACAACTAAGTAGAAATAAAGCAGAGAATAAATAGTGAAATAAACTAGGAAAAAGTAGAACAATGTGAATGCATAGCTAACACTCACAATTACATAACTAGTCTTCATTCCCTCGGGGATGTAAATTGATTTTCTTCATTGTTACAAGTTGCGTTTTAAACAATAACTACTTCTGAAACAATTAGTCCCTTTTATGAAATTGGATAATGTAATTAGAAGACGTAGATTATCTGAAAAATGTGATGTATTAGCGCTATACATTTCGAACAATCTGATCACACATTTACTTGTTAAGGCATTCATTATATATGAAAACTGGAAGTGGGGAAGGATACATGTGACATAAAGGAATTCAATAATAAGAAAGATAATGAAAGGGAAAAAGTTAAGATTTGAAGACAATCTTGGCAATAAGATAAAATAAGCATTACCAAGGTAGGCTTGGCGTAAGGACAAACTGTTTTTGCATACACAATGATACGTTGATGATATAATCGTGATATATGACAAGGACGAAGATGCGACATGTTTGTTAGAAAGACTTAACTACGTACAAAACAACATAAGCGTAACATGTGAAGAAGAGAAAGAAAACCGTCTGCCATTCTTGGATATACTCCTAAGTCGTAGAAATGATGGTTCAATAAAACGGTCGATCTACAGGAAACCTACTTGGACAAGTTAGTATTTAAGTTTCCAACCGAGGTTTGGTAACTTGCCTATTTAAAAGGATCCAGCGTATTTGTATGGAAGGCTCAATGGATGATGATATCAAAATACTAACGGGAACATTATTGGAAAATGGATATCCATTGAAGTTCATAAACCGCTGCAAAAATCAACCAGGATTGAGATCTAACCTGTGCTCTGTTTCGAAGAAATGCGTTAACATCGCATTACCATACAGAGTAGAATGTAACAGCATGATATTAAAACGAAGGTTAAGGTCTGCTGTTTAGCAAAATGTACTATACAGCTAAGCTTATCGTAGTTGAGAAGACCAAATACCTCCTGCAACCTAGACCTCAACGCTGCATAAACGATTGCGTCACATCCCACTGCGTTTATAAATTTACATATGTGAGTGTATGTGTGGACAAACATATATAGGGAGGACTAATCGTGGTAAGCACTTGAGGGTAGGAGAACATGTTCCAAAATGACTATGAAAGTATCTGCATTCACAAACATTGATAAGCGCAGATGACAGACAGCCATCATCATTCATTCCAAAACATATCATCGATAAGGGTCACAGGACCGATATTAAAACAGCTTTTACAAGTTTGGTGAGGTGCTAGCCACAAATAAATTGTGTGTGTGTGCAAAAACAGTTTGTCCTTACGCCAAGCCTACCTTGGTAATGCTTATTTTATCTTATTGCCAAGATTGTCTTCAAATCTTACCTTTTTTCCCTTTCATTATCTTTCTTATTATTGAATTCCTTTATGTCACATGTATCCTTCCCCCACTTCCAGTTTTCATATATAATGAATGCCTTAACAAGTAAATGTGTGATCAGATTGTTCGAAATGTATAGCGCTAATACATCACATTTTTTCAGATAATCTACGTCTTCTAATTACATTATCCAAATAACTACTTCACTTTTTGTTATCTAGCAGTAGAATAATCTTCAATCGTCTTTTTTGTTCAAAGAATAGTTCTTATGTCGAACGACAAAGCATATTTGAAAGCTACTGACAACTAACAAAGAGAGACTCTGTAACCATGTGTTCTGCTCACTCCTCCTTCTTGAATTAAATAATAATAATAATAACAATAGTGGCAATAATAATGACTTAAAGTCTTATATTGAACATTTAACCTTCGACCCACTAAGTTAGGATTCAATGTTCAACGCTTTTGAAGTATGAGCGTTGAATGGTATATCGCTACATCATTAAACTACCTGGAGTTGGACGATACCAGTCATTCAGATCAAAGTTGGCAACTCGAATTAAAGGTTACTAGACTTAAATATCCTAAGTTTTGCTTCCAAAGGTTTCAAAGGTAATCCCAAATATGAAAGTTGCAGTTATTTAAAGCCTATTCGTTTTGTGTTTATCTTTGTGACAAAAGCCCACTCACAAATTGATAGAAACCAACATTTTAATTATATTACCAGTATCCTTACTAATTAATTAATTAAAGTTCGTGTGACATACATGAATGACAAATATTTCGTATCTTTTATAAGCATTTTTTTTGCTATCATTTTAGGCCCAGTTGTTGATCGTGCAAGTGCATGGTGTGGTTCACTTGGTGTACCATTCTTTCGTTTTAGCCCTCCGTTATCAACAGATGTCTGTCTTGATTCCACTGATGTTAAGCAACTTTTACAAATGGTTGTTGAAACTCAGGCATATTTGCATAGAGTTCGTGATCGAATTGAACTTTTAGCCTCGTTGTTGTCATGATTACAAATCTACTTGTTTTTACAGGGTGTTTTTTTTCGAGATTTTATTGACAGTCATTATTTTATTATATATGTATACTACTATATTGTTTTCAAATATTTTCACAGCCTTTTTTTACAAAAGGATGACAGAAAATAGGCAAGTGGATGCTACTTTAAATTTCATTTAATAATCAGGCCTTCTTTTTGTAATCATTTATACCTCCCGCTTCCTGTATCGCCTATACATCATACCCTTGATCTTGTTTGTTGCATTCTTTTGTGTAAAAAGTATTTTGCAGTTACTTTATTTTGATAGATACACTACTAATCCATCAATATATATATATATATATATATATATATATATATATATATATATATATATATATATATGCATTCTGTGATTGTTATGTCCCTTTCCAATATAATCAGCATATCTTTAAGTTCTATGAATGTACGAAAAGCAATCAGTTTATACATAAATATATAAAGATTATCTCTATACAACAAATGGTTACTTTTGACTTTACTTTTCTGATGAAAACCGACTAAAAAAACTAGGTTCTTAGTAGTAACGTAACATAATACTGAACAGCTAACAGCTTGTATTCTTATCCGCGCTGATGAGATTTCACTTGAGAGGATTCAGTCTGATATTTCCTTTATAGTGGCGGGCTTAGGGGGGATTAAAAGTTTCTTTAAAAATTGTTTTACCTGTTTCTTCGATGAAGATACCATAATATGGAAAATACTTGTACTTGTCCTGTTATCATATTTTCACAATAGATATTTACGGTATTTTGTGTGTTTCCTGATACTACTCATCCTTTGGCAACTGATATACTGAGAAATAAAAACATTTGTTGGATATCCACGTGTCTTCAATGGTCAAAAAATGCACATGTATGTGATTTTTCAAG